GCGAGCCGGTAGCCGCTCCTGCAAATACCTCCGTTCCGGCTCGCTGTTCCACACGGGAGTCGGGGAGCGATCCAGTCAGCCCCGACCTCCCCGGCAATGGAATAACCTTACCGGATCCGCCCCTCAGGGACAGAAGCCGGCAGCAGCAGGCGCAGAAGCGCGAAAGTCGGCACGACCCAGCTCCCTGGGCACGAAACCGACGAGCAGCTGATAGACTCACAGGAACTCAGAGAAACCTAAACTTAACCGAAAAAAAGGAGAAATAAAAAAGGGGGCTAATCAAAAATAACCAAAAGGCCTAACGCAACACTCAGAGCACAGAGAAAATCCTCCCAGTGTGTCAGCAACTGAGAGAAAGACTGGGGATTCGGGTGCAAAAGGGGGCGTGGAGAGAGCACAGAGTGGGTAGATAAGTAAAAAAAAGTTCTCTCAGTTGCTGTCAGATAAGAGGATTTTCCCAATGCTGGAGTGTAGTAGCAGCGTTCTGGAAAACATTAAATTACTGAAAAGTTTCAGCTGAGCAAAACTGAGTCTGAACTGTCAAAAGAATAAAAGCCTTAAGAGAAAAAAAGAAAAGAAAAAACATTAATTCAAATGCTAGAGATTTTGGGTGTTATGTATAACTTAATCCTGGCTAAGTTTTGCTTTTTTTATTATTTATAAGCTTCTATTTTAGGAATTACATGGCTCAAATTCTGAATAAAGATAAATCACATTTCAAATTACAATTACATTTTGCAACAAAAATAAAACAAAGCAGTTAGGGAAATAACAACTTTGGATAGCAATAGCATTTAGACTTAGACTTATATACCGCTTTACAGCCCTCTCTAAGCGGTTTACAGAGTCAGCCTATTGCCCCCAACAATTTGGGTCCTCATTTTACCCACCTCGGAAGGATGGAAGGCTGAGTCAACCTTGAGCCTGGTGATTATCTGAACTGCCAAATTGCAGGCAGCCAGCAGGCAGCAGATGTAGCCTGCAGTACAGCACTCTGACCACTGTGCCACCATGGCTCGTCAATATAAATAAAAAGATAAAAAAAAATTTAACCATTTTACCACTACAAATGTTATTAAAGTCAAGAAATATATAAAGAAGTAAAGGAAAATCCAGTGGAAAAATCCAGTGGTATCCTTTGCTTCTATGTAAACTTTATTCATAAGGAAGGCAAAGATTTCCTAAAATTGTTACTCTTTTTTTTATTTTTTCCTCAGCTTACATCCATCATAATATCATGGAAATTAGAGTTCATAAAGGAATTATTCAAATATAGTATAGGTAGTCCTCGACTTACAATCACAGTTGAGCCAAAAATTCAAATTGTTAAGCAAGACATTTGTTAAGTAAGTTTTGCTCCACTTATCTTGAAACATTTGTTAAGTGAATAGCTGCAGCTGTCAACTTAGTAACACAGTTGTTATATGAATTTGGCTTCCCCATGGACTTTGTCAAAAGGTTGCAAAAGGTGATCACATGATCCTGGGACATTGCAAACATCATAAATATTAACCAGTTACCAAGCATCCAAATGTTGATCACATGATCATGGGGGACTCTGCAACGAATGTGTGAAGAACAGTCATAAGTCACTTTCTCCAATGCCACTTTTCAAATGTTCGCTAAACAAACCATGGTAAATCGAGAGATACCCGTATGGTATGCCACATTATACATTTTTCAAAACATGGTTCTGAACTCATAAAACCAATTTATTTACAATATTTCTATTCTGCCTATCATTTGAAGAGTTAAGCAAACAAGATTAATAGTTCTGGACAAATAAAATAAAGCAATGCCTAATCATCTCTTCAAATGGAGTCTGTGAACCAAGCTCAATAGTATTTTGATATTTTACAGTAAAGTGCAGTTAAAATTATCAGATTTGTAAACTTACATGTTAAGTACAAGAAATAAAAAAATGCTTTTCTTCCAAGTATGGAAAAGTATTTTTCAAGGCTTAGTAAAAAGAAAAACATTGGTAATGCATCAAGTTTCAAGGTTGATCCCAAAAGTATCAATGCATATGTCACTGAGGCCATACATTCTAATTTTATGAATGCTAATTAACTGAGCTCTGCAATTTGTTTGGTCATCAATTTATGAATTGGGATTACTAGCATCTTAGCACTGTTATAACTAATAGCATAAAAAAAGAATATCTAGATGCTTGGCCTAAAAATGAACACATTCTTTGTTGATGTAACTTGAGTGTGACATAATGTTCCCAAGCCAGCACCTTATATTTGAGTTTAACTAAAAGTCCTCAAACTCATATCCCACCTAATGTAGTCAAAGTTGCTGAGAATCATAGAACTTGTATCCCCTGGAGGAACAGAACTGTTTCATGGCCTAGATAACACTATCTATGTGGAATGTGTTGTATAGATAGATAGTTCTCAATTTATAGTTGCATCATGACCATTCGAAGTTAGGCTGGATTTCAAAACATCTACTAATCACTTATCCTTGAAAGCGACTATCACATACACACACATACACACACATCACATGACTTTGGACGCTAAGCAACCGGTACACATTTACAACTGACTGCAGCATCCGACAGTCATGTGACACAATTTGAGAGTTTTTGCCACTTTCCAGCAGAAAATAGCAAAAACCACACATTGGATATGCTGGATTCAACTAATGATGTGATTCACTTAACAACCATTTAACAACAACAGTGAATTGCTTTACAAACATCATAAAAACAGTCATAAAATTCAATTCAATCACATGGTGCCTCAACTTACTATTACGACAACTTACAATCATAACCTGGAGCCCAGATTATGGTAATAAATCACAGACTACCTGCATGCTTTTTTTTTAACATAGAGGATATATTTGTACAATATATTTTTATACTGGTTAACCTAACCAAAGTTTACTTAATTCATTTTCTAAAACATGGTAACACGTGAATTTGTCCTATTTCTGGATATCAGGCTAAAATAGGGTGATTAGTTTTTGGTTCAGTGTACTTCAGCGTAACGTGAACATAACCAGCGCCTTTTTATTTAGATGTAAAAAAAAATCAAAACAGCTAGCAACTGCAATGCATCGTTTTTTTAAAAATTGAAAGTGCAAACTAGAATCTTGATTTAAAGGTATTCTTTATTTTTTCCTAATAGTTCATATCATGACTAAATCACCTTGATTTTGAAGGTAATACATCCACTCCACTTATAACTTAATATCACATTTTAAAAACCTTCATCAGTCTCTCAGTAGGAGACTACAAACAGCTGGAAAAGATGTTAATACAACAGAAATAAGAGTATCTGGTTGCTTGATCCCAAAGGAAAGTGGGACAAGAATACAGAAAGTCAACAGCAAAATGTGTTATACTTGCATTATTCCTTTCTTCAGATATTTACACACACACACACACACACACACAAATCCAACACCAAAGAATGCTCAAAATAATCTACATCATTTGCTTCAGCTTGTTGAATATCAAATGTCTTTTCCTCAAACAGGGATTACCAAATAACTCAATAGGTTATTTACATTTACTAGCATTTTGGAGAAAGAAAAATGTATGTGTGTGTGTGTATGTATGTGTATATGTATATATATGTGTGTGTGTGTGTATACATACACACATATATAAATCAAAAACTGCTTTTGATTTTAAGCAAATGTTACTGATCTTAATACCATGCACTTTAAGACTTTTAAGCAATAAAATTTAAGTCTGTGCTATGTGTCACAGAAGGTTGAAAGTACATTAGATTTGATAGAAAGGAAGCATCAATCATAGTAACACCATATGTACTGCACAAATATCATTCATGTGTTGCTTCTAACGCAGCTGTGCAAGATTCAAACATTCCTCAAATCACTCTTAATCTCAGCTTTCACATTTTACCAACAAGAGATACCATCTAATAGAAATACTGGTTTGTCTCAGAAGCAGCTACAAGAAGATTCAGATCATAACAGATTCAATAAAAGGTTGGATGATATAATTCAATAACTAAAGGAATGGCAAGAGTTCATTCTCCAATCAGAGAGAACAAACTTGGTATAAAGACAGTCCTACATTCAATTTTTGCTTCTTTAATGCGAACAATTAGGCAGCAGGTGCTTAAACCTGCAGATCTGCTGCCAGTGATAAAATACTGACCAGAAAGACTAAGTACATGGAAGCATCTTCTGTAAAATGCAATTCTGGATGGAAAATCTGTATATAAGCTATTTATCTCAACTCACAGTTTTTTTTTTTTTTGCAAAACTTAAGACTTTCACTTCTCCTCAGTTCAATACTTTATCCAAATTTAAGCAAGCAAAAACCCAAGCCAAAAACATATTCTTTGATTCCTAGATTTTTTCCCATGGGTCAATCTGTGAATTTTACTGAACTTCAGATACAGATCTCACCAGTTCCTTGCATGGAAGCAACCCAAAATAAACCAACATTACAACAGATGGTTATAAATGAAATATTAATATAAAATCTTAATATAAATACAGTAAATTTACCGTCTAATAATAAACAGAAAACTGCAAGATTGCAAAGATCTGTGCATGCAACATTAGACATAAGAAATCAATTTCTTCACATTCAATTAAAGTGGAAGAGAAGCAAAAATTGCACAGATATAAAGCCAAGCATAGTATTCAACTCCTTCTATGTGATTACATGCACCTGGTATGTCTAAAAATCATCAGTAAAACAAAATAGAGTATATTGGTATCATAGAGATATATATAACATGGAATTTTAAAATGCATACTACATATTTACACAAACAATATCTTACAGCTGTCTATACAAAAAAAATGCAATGTTTTATGAATGAACCACTTGAGATCAAATACTATTTCTTCAAATGCATGGAGCAATACTGAGTGAGAGAGGAAAGAGAAAACATAGAACTGCTTGATCCATTTTAACTAGAACAAAAAACAACAACCCCAAAACCCAAAGTAGTAATAAAAATTAGAAGACTAAATGGATTTTACAGACATTATTCCAGCCTCACCTGACTTCTGTCTTTGTCCACTTTCTTAAAACATTTATTTAATGACAGATTATGCCTCACAGAATTTTTCCATCCAGTAGGAGCATTTGCAAAATAAGGGAAGTGTTCCAAAATCCAGTTGTATATATCCTTCACAGGAAGCCGCTTGTTTGGAGAGTCCTCAATGGCCATAAATATGAGGCAGCTAAATGAATATGGTGGTTTACAGTTAGGGTTCTGCTTGGCATCATAGGGCATGTCAGCATGAGCAGGAGATGGAGGGGTATCATCATCTAGGTCTTGAACTGGGCTAACACTTCTTAAGACTGAGTCCCCAAAACTTTTCAGCAAGTTCTTACTCTCATGTAACCAATTCAAATTGGTAAGTTCTTCATCTTCTATAGGATCTTTTTCCAGTCGAAGAGTAGGCAAAGAAAAGTCTAAGTCCTCCTCATCCTGTAGAGTTTTTGATAGGTCACCATCTGTGTAACACTGGCTCAGTCCACTGGAAATGGTAATTCCCGAGCCTTCTGGCTTCTTACTAGGAGGCATAACTGGACCCATTTAGTCGGAGGCTCCTAATAAAATAAATCCAAATTTAAAAAAAAAAAAGGTTAGGTAGATAAAAAGAAAATAACATTCAAACAACTTTTCCTAGCTTGTATTAGGGCCTTTTACGAAGTCTAGTGGCTATGCACCTTCCCCACACACATATCCAGACTGACACAAGCAATATTCATAGAATAAGACAACAATGAAATTTTAATTTTTGCAATAAACATTATTGTATTTTTTGAAATAAATATTTTTTAAATATATTAATTTTTCTGCCTATAAACAACAAAAATAGGTTGATGTCCTTTTAAATCAATGCTTTATCCATTAACTTGAGAAATATCAATTGTACTTTCTCCCAAACTAGCATATCATATGGATTCCAATATCACTGGTCATAATAGCGGTTAGTGTTTGTAATAAGCATACAAAATTGAGAGCTTAAGACCAGTTGCTTCATGTTAATTTCAGCTGTTTCACTTCCAGTGTGAGCACAGCCACATTATAATTATAGCCTCTGTTACTTTGGCTAAACACACAAACAGGCAAAACTCCATGTTTACACACACAAACACACACACAATTTACAACCAAGCATTCACTCAGCTTCCCAAAGAAATTGCAATAAAATTTGTGGTATGCATTCAGAATTAACTTTTAGTGATCTAAATACAAGTTAGAGAAGCAGAGAAAAGATGCATATACAGAAAAAGAATTCAGCTCCACAATGACAAATTTAGCTGAAATTACAGTAAACAATGAATGTGACAAGCGTGACTTAGAAGAAAGCATGAACAGTGATGTCATACACAGATCAGTAGATACTGTTGTTGCTATACTGGGCTCAGAGAATAGTATGCAAAAATAGATCAGACTATATCACATTTTAAAAAGCAAAAGGCACCAAAAGCTAGAAAATGTGTACAAACAAATAGCCTGACTATCTGATATGTGTTAGGGAAATATTTGAGAAAGTATTACAAACATTAATTAAACCTGAATTCCGCTATCAAGATTAAGCAATCAAAGCCACATTTTAAGTCGTTTACTCTTTATGTGAAACAAGTTGATTAACAATGATTCATTATTTTATCTCTTCAATCAATATTCCATATGTTACTGTCATCCCCAAGATACTGACCACCACTCCACTTCAAGGTTTTTACATACTGGTTTATAGTAAGATAGAGAACGTGTAGGCTAAGTTGCTTGTGTTAGTTGTATTTATGCCACATGCAAAATTCCATGACACTGGTCTCTTTTGGCAGTTTGACACATATGCCACAAATATAATTAAAGTTCAAGCATGTTCATGCTTCACTATAAAACTAGGATCTCTAAATTAAAACACAGTAGAACCTTTGGTCACGATCATAATTTGTTCCATAACTTTGGTCGCAAACCAATTTGGTTGTGACCCGAACCTAATTTTGGAAATTTGGCGCTTACAAAAAAAAATGGTGCGGAAAGGGAAATCAGCCATGATTGTGAAAATCATGAAAAAATGTGAATTTTTTGGTCGCAAACCGATTTGGTCATGGTCAGAAGCGTTCGTGACCAGAGATTCTACTGTAATGTAATTCTTTACAGAGGTAGTCTATATTTGTTTAATATAGACATTTTTAGCCATTTGACAGAATTAAAAAACAGTATGTATCCTGATTAGTTCTTGGATAGGAGACCAACTAGAAAACCTAAAGATGCATGTTAGATGTGGACACTGAAGAAATCAATCTAGAGAAGCAATGTCAAAACTTTTCTGTATTATTGACAAAAGAGTTGTCAATTAGTTTGATATCTGAGCTTCATTCAAGGAAGGCTTTACCTTTGTGCAACTTTTCTAGAATATATTTTCCTTTATTTATATCAATTACAATTATGATCAGCATATATTATTAGTGTAGTGTTAGTGCATTAGATAAATTTTTAACCCCTATATAGTGCAACATTTTTATATAAACTCATCAAACATATAACCAGGCTTTCTTCAATGTAATGCCTTCAGCATATACCACTTCTAAAACTTCTTAAGAGATAGTCTTTGGGGAAGATTTTGAGCTTAAACAACACTCAGCAGTTGAATTTATTTAAAAAAAAATATGCAAAATTATTAGAAGCATCTTCAATGTAAAAAAAAATCACAATATTTTAATATGACATGTCAAAAACCTATGTAAAAGGCTTGATGTTGTTGTTTCAAAACATTAAAAAAATTATAATTACATACGAAGTCATTAAGGTGAGTTGAAGAAAAAACACAAAAAGAAAAAAAGCAAGATTCTTAGAGATAAAGGTTGAATAAAAATGAAGCTGAAGCTGAAGGAAAATATTAAAATAGTTGAAAAAAGTTAAATGAATCTATTTCATACCATTCTACTAATGAGAAAATGTATTGATAACACTTAAAGTTCAACAATTAAGAACAAAAATGTGATTAAGATGTTCTTTAAAATTACAAAATTGGAAACTATATATCCCTCATTTGAAAGAAGGGGAGGGGAAATAGTGAGAGTACCCGTAAACATTGCTCAATAAGGTTTTCAATGCTGTTTCAATGTGAAGAAATGCTGCCTAGTAAAGACACTGTTAGTACACTGAAACATGGAAGCACTGAGGAAGGGAGATTACTGCAACGTGTATCCCTAAAACATTAATCTCACCGCCTTTAGTTGAAAGCAATGTAGCCAAATGCATTCAGCACAGAGAACTTATATCCCATGAGCAAGCTTTTAAATAGGAAAATTATATCATGGCTGACAACATAATTTAATTGCTCTGTTGCTATGACAACATGCTGCTCTCTTTCAGTTTAATTTGCTTACTTGCCAGCATTCTCCCAAAGGACTATATAATACCATCAATTTTCACAGAAAAACTAGGGACTTCTTTCTAAGAGCTTATGTTAGACTGGCAACTCTTTCCAATTCTATATATACAGGGTCAACTTCATGGTTTTCAACATGCTCTGAGTTAATTAAAATTATAACCCACCAAACAATTTATGTTTGGATTAATAGCCACAACCACTTTACTACATGTTTTAAGCATGTGATTTTATTTATATTTATGTAGAGTAAAAGCCATTGAATACCACATGAGAGACTTTGGATCATGCTGGAAATGTCTCATGGATTCTAATAATAATCATTGAAAAATATAACTTAATGAGAAATGTTGTGCATGGCTGAAGGAGATATTTTTTTTGAAATGTGCATTATACCATGTACATTTCAACATCAACAGCTTGGAAACTATAAGAAGTGCCTCCTTCGTGTGCACAAGGATAAGTTTCCAGAAGCGATGCAAAAGAAATGCTTAAGTATTTCTAGTGTACCTACAGTAGTGTAGACCTAACTGTACAGTTTTGAAAAAAAGTTTGCAGCATTTCAGTTGAAACAACAATAATTTCATAACTTAAGATGAATTATGGAAGAAATTCTAGTTTAGATTTACGTGAAGGAAAAAAAGTATACAGAAAAGTTAGTTTTAGAAACTCAGCTGAGTTTTCCTCAGCTGAACTCCAGCTCAAAGGAGTAACTTGCCTGCCATTTCTAATTAACAAAATACACCTGGGCTGAAGAATTCTAACCAAACAATTACATACAAATTAGCAACAAATATTTTGTAAAGAGGTAACTCTAGCAGATGCTCTCAGAATTTGACCCTAGTGTGTGTAAAATGAACGTTATTGCTGCTTGAGCACAGCCACTGTTTTTAATATTTAGAGTTGTAAAACTGACACAATACACAAAAAGGAAGAATTACTAGTTACTATTGTTTCTCCAAATAACTTACATCTATGCAGTGGCATATATTTGAAAGCTACATTTGAACGGATATATATTTAAAGAAATAATAAAACAACGGGCCAATATTTTTAAGTGAAGAAGAGAGCAGTCAGGGAGACTGCACTTTGCCTACACTCCCTACTGTACTTGTCAAAAACATTTGAAGGGGAGAAGGAGGCCGCTGATTGGTTGGGATTCAAATCAATCAATAGCGTTGCTAGGCGACTAGAAAACTGCACTTATGTCTATACAGTGCCATTTGCAGCGAACATACCTTACATGCTGGTCAGATATCTTAAACCTTGCATTGGCCTATCTTCTTCTACACCACGCCATCATATACGCGCCCCCCCCCAAAAAGCTTAGGATCTATTTCTGTAAAAATCATTTCAAAAACGTGCTGTCTTAATGCTAAAGCTCATTCTACTAGTTTAAAAAAAAACAAAACAACGATGGGATTTTAAAACTTGGGAGAGAAAAAAATGCTTCCCCAAACTACAGGAAGCAACTGGAAGCTATCACTGTCGCAAAAAAATGATGATTACAAATGTTGTAAAGGTTGAGTTCGTCCTCAAACTCCCACCCCCCCAACTTTAAAACACAACCCCAACTCTATTCGTCAAAGGTCTCATTTGCTGCTTTAGTTCTGATAACAAAATTACATTCGTGCCTGCAAACTCGGCTCGACCCGCTTCACCTGACAAACACCAAGAGAATGTACATCCCCTTATTTCCAAGACGAACAGGAAGTTGGTTTTAGACATTCCGAACTGATTTTACTGCGTCTTGCGCCCAATTCACCTTTTTTCTTGTCTCTCTTGTGCTTTTTTTTTTTGCCCCCCTTCTTTTGATTCCAATGCAGAGAATCTTACGCAATCTTCCCAGCGAAGGAATTACGGTTGAAATGAAAGAAGAATCTACACAGAAAGCAGAAAAGACAAAACGCCCCGACCATATACTAAACACACACGCGCGCGCACGCACACACACACACACACACGTATGTTAAAAAAATCTAAACTTACCTGTCCTGGGTGAGTTCTAGATTTTCCCCGCCGCCTTTCCCTTGGTCATTATGCAAACTTTTCATCCGATGGAACAAGGCATTGCTTCCTCCCCCAGCCTGAAGCCAACAATGTGGCCGAAGGGAAAGAGCGAGGGGAGCCCAGAGCCGAAAAGGAAATCCGAGGCGAGCATGGGACCCTGCTGCAGTTTCACCCCCCCGCCGCCCCTCTTTGCTTCGCTTCAACGCTCCAGCCGTCGTCTCCCCTTCCTTTCGTCTCTTTCCCCCCCTCCCTCCCAAACCCCCCCCGTCTCAGCGAGTAGCGGTTTGGGTCGGAGGTGCTAGAAGAAGGCGAAATTGTTTCCACTGCAAACAACAAAAAAAAGGCAACACATGACCGCGGGGGGGGAGGGAAAGAGGGAAACGTGGGCAGGGCCAGCAGAGACTAGCCGCCACGGAGGGAAGGAGAAGGCAGGGCTAGCGGAGTGGGTGGGTTAGAAAAAAAGAGGGGGGGGGGGCTTTATTGCTCCGCGACCCTAATTGCGAGACAAGCGCGGGGTTAGGTCGGCGTTTCCACCCACGCGCGCGTTCTCCGCCCCGCTCTCGCTTCTCCCCGCTGCCCGGCCAGAGAGGCCTGTGTGAGCCCTTCAGAAATTCTCAGGCTGCCGCCTCCTTCGGCCTTTCCTTCCACCACTTGGAGAGTCCCAAACGCTGCACATGCCCTCCTCCTCCGGTTGTTCTGACTGGCTTCTCCCTTTTTCTTTCCCCTCCCCACCAGCCTACGTGGTATGTGGGTGAGCCTGAAAGTCACTTCAGGATGTGTGTGTGTGAGTGAGAAAGAGAGAGAGAGAGAGAGAGAGAGAGAGGGAGACAGCGCGCCACCCTTCCGCGTTAAAAAAAAAAAATTAAAAAAAAAAATAGACAGTTTTGCCTTTCCAAAAGTGCAACTACGAGATAGCACCTGCTCGCCTCTGCTTAACGAAAAGACGCACGCAGGGAGAGAGGTTGGGGAGGTGGGGGGGAGGGTTGGCATCTTAAAAGACAACACTTCCTGAAGGGTCAATTCAATTCTGAAGTAAGTCCCCGTGAATTCACTAGACCTCGCTCCTAATTAAGTAAAAACTAATAGGGATGCAGGCAATAATTCTAGGAATTGAACTGGGAACAAGCTGTATCTGAACACAATTGCTCTGCCCACCTGACTGTCTTACCCTTGGTTGATGTAAAAATGTTTACCCAATGTTGACGTTGGTTGATAACAGAGAACCGTAAAGTTTGTACAGTCAGATTAAAATGTAGCTGGCTAGTTGGTGGTGTTCCATGTGCCCCGTAAACAAAACCAGTGGGACACTATGACACTTGACTGCTTTTCTTCATTAGGTGTATAAAGTGGCCAGTTGGAAGATCAAAAAGTCAGAGACAGACTCACAATCTCTCCAAACTGTAGTATGGTTTGTTTCGTTTGGGTTCAAAACAAATTATGAACTCTTGAATGTTACCATAAACTAGAAATGGTCATGTGGTTCAAGTTGTTTTGATTTCTGGTTTTCAGAATCCCTGATCCCTGAAATGAAAGTGAGGCCTCTCAGGTTGGCTTCATGTAAATGCAAGGGCAAATAGAGATCTTGTGACATCTCAACTAAGGTCATTGAAAAACAAATTTTTTTTTCAGGTGAATCCAGAGGTCCATTCTAAAGTACCGGTATATGAGCAAAATACAACTTTCTTATTTCAGCCCTCCCACATTTGATGTGATTATTACAGACAATTTCACCTTTACCCCCAAATTAAGAATGCATTTTCATATTGGAAAAAGAATATTTTATAGGTATGAAAAATGGTTCAAGAAACTGATATTGACTGAGGTTTGCCAACTACAGAGCAAATAAGAAACACAATATAATTATATTAAAATTTTACAAAATGAGGAGGGCTGCAGTCTTGTTGGAATACTTATTCCAATATGTGTACTTGGTTCAAAAGTTCATAATCTGAATTAAGCAGACACATGTGCTTAATGTGTCTGTGTTCACAGACTGCTGCAAACTATGCATACTTCATCTGATCGTGTTTTATTGACTAAATTACAACTAGCTATTTCTTACACTGTACTACTTTTATAAACCATAATAATCAGTTCACCTAATACATTATGACAAAAGTAGGCACACACAATGTAATGTCTTATCAACTTGTCTGTGTTTCTGGGATGACATCTGAAAAAGCTTTCAAGACTTATCTAATGGAGCAAAGATGGCTTATATATCACTATATTTTTTGCTTTGACTAAAAAAATGTGAAAAATGGACACTGGAAAAAATAATACAATGGAAAACCAGGAACAACTGAAAAAAAAGGAAATAAAACATGGTCCTATAAATACTTGTCTGTACATATAATCTATACATAGATGTGTACGTAGGTCCAAGTTTCATTTTCTTTTTTGTGTGTATATTTTGTTTTTACAAAAACAATTTTAATTGTGTAAGTCCCTGCTCAATGAAGCTATAGGCGTAACCCTTTTGATTTAAAGATAAAATAGTATTTTGGAGTACATGGGATACTCACATGGCACCTGTCCATAATTCCTCAAAGCAGCTGGTATGATATGACTGCTTTTTGCAGCTACAGATTAATCCAAAAGAAAAATTACGGAGTTGCAGCCAGATGCTATCTGCATCAGGAATAAGATAACTTGCTGTGGCCAACTCACCATGGCCAACGTATCATTCCACCATTTCTTTGATATTAGTATAACTCTTGTCCCGCAGCAAGTGGTCCTGTGTTGAGTTGTCCTGCAGCAAGTTGGCTGCAGTGAGTTGGCCGTGGCAAATTCTTGTAGACTCATCTGCATCATTGTACGCTAGAGCACCTCTTTGCCTTTGAATCTGTAGCACTGTATAATCTTAATACTCATCTCAGAGTAAAAAACACGATGCAGTGGGACTAATTCCCAAGTAAATTTTATGTTCATTTATTTTAATAGTAGAATTAAGCCTAGCATGAATTGTGTCATGTAGGTAATCAAAGAAAAAAAGAAAGACATTCTCAACTTAATTGGCTCAAAAAACATTAGAGAACTTTATAAATGATAAGGTTATCATTAGTTACTGGTCATGAAGACTGTTTTGTCCTTCAGTATTGGAACAATGGCAGAAGTTCAACAGCATTCTAAACCATAGTTTATTTAATTATGTTTTATTGAACGAACTATACATCAAAATGAGTTTCACAACAAAACTATCATAAATTACAGTTACTTAATTCTGATAACACATTGCCAGAATTAAACAAGCCACGATGTAGCTGATGTGCTGTAGGAATCAGATGAGTTTATGGATATGATTTGTTTGGGAAACGAAGCAGGACAGTGTTGTTCTTCGGGCCCTATTTAGAGGCTTCCAGAAGGCATCTGGTTGCCCCTATGCAACAGATTGCTGCATTAGCTAGGCTTCCGGTTGGATCCATGCATTTTTGTTTCTTCATAGAAACATAAGAAACTTTCATAGAAACATGCTTCTGCAAATCATTTTTTTTCAGAGGCTTTTGCATAAATGGATGTAACTAATATATTTCATTGTTAAAATGAATCACCACATTTAAAATCATTGCAGCATTTAAGTTTCTAAATTACCCAAATAAATAGTAACATATGATAACAATCACAGTAATCCAGAGACAAGGCTGAATAGGTCTGTGAGAATACTGTATATTAAGTATCATTTGCTTTCCTTCTCAGTTTTATGACTAATAACATTAAGATATAACTTCCTATGAATCACATGGTGTGTATGTCCAGCACAGTGGCTGAACTGAATTATTGATACTTAATAAGAACTACCCAAAGCCAATTCAATATATCCAGCCAATCCTTGTAACCTACTTGTGAAAGGAATGAGTAATTAAAATTACAGCCCTTATAAAGCAAAATGCCATTGTTCCTTTACCCTTGCTTGCCCTGCAAACATGCCTGTTTATCTAAAACTAAAGCAGACCTTGAATTATTAAGTCAAACAATGCTTATCTCATGGCCATTTTGCTGTTTTTAAAATACAACCCAAGTTACCAAATGCTAACCCAACCCACAGAAACACATATACTCAAAGCATTCTGAGAGGTCTTTCAGAAAGAGATAAGTAGGTAAGTCAACAAGAGAGGAGACATTCTCTCTCTGTTTGCGGCTGATGTCAAAAGTCAAGTGTCTAAAAGACACCCACACCCACATGTAGGTCAATGTAACAACCACTGTTTTCAGTGGCAATAAACAGGAACTCTTCAGGGATGTTTGGGTGTATTTTAAAAAAAAATGTTTAGCTAGAAGAGTTAAAAGTGGCATGTTCCTGTGGTAAATAAGGTTTATGCCATTTGATATTTGAGGCAAAATTGATATTTAATTTTAATGAGATGAGGGAAAAGTTCTAAAACTAAATAAAGCAACAGCAGAAAGAGTCCTACATGAGTTATGAGTCAAATTAATCTAAGAATGATTACTTGGAAGTTATGTCACACTAAATAATTTTGCATATCATGCAAAGCCCTATTGTGGTTTGTTTGATTTTCTTTCAATTTGTTGATAACCCATTCAATTCTGGATTATTCAGTAAATGATTAAACACACCATAGCTTAGAATTATGTGTGAACTAGAGTCAATGAGGTTTATGTGGTAAATTATGATTAAGAATGACATCCTCAGTATTCCAATTGCTGACATTAGTCCCATGTTCATAACTGATTATCTAAAGCAGGGGTTCCCAACCTGTGGGCTGTAGCCCACTAATGGGCCATTTCTGTGGCCTACAACCAGGCCACAGAAACGGCTGCTGAGCCCACATGTGCATCCTCACTTATGTGAGTGAGTGTGCGCATGTGCACGCATGCTCCATTTAAGTGAATGGCATGCACACATGCATGTCGCTTACCTAAATGTAGCTGCACACACAGGCTTGCTGACCACCCACATGGAACTACCCCCTTGCTCCCCCACTCACTGGTCCTCAAAGCCGGAAACATTGGGGAAATCTGATCTAAAGCAATTGTCTTTGGATATCATACTTGATTTCATCCTGTCCTTTCAGCCCATGTCAAGCTTTCTTCATGCATACAAATAAAGATCCCCCCCCCACGGAAGACATAATATGTATTTTTACACAACATTAAAGCATTACACAACATTAATCCATTAAAGCATTCACTTAAATTATGCTTAACATAACTTTGCCAAGGAATACTTTCTGTCAAAATACTTAGATGTGTATTGATGCCTTTTCATGCCATTTATACCACTTGTTGATATAGGACAAAACCTGAAAGACAATTTGATTGCAAAATTGTATATTCTTTTCTAGAATATACAATTTCTTTTCTAGAACATACAGTTGCATTACTGTAAGCAGCAATATGAAACACATATTAACCTTCACATCAGGGGTGAAATGCTACCAGTTCGCTCCAGTTCGGGCAAACCAGTAGTGATAAAAACTACTGGTTCGGGCGAACCAGTAGTAAAAAAATGCTTTAAAAAGGTAAAAAAAAATATGGTCATGCCTACTAGTCACATGACACCTGCCCAAGCCACGCCCACCAAGCCACCCCCACAGAACCGGTAGCAACAAATTTTATATTTCATCATTGCTTCACATTCTTTTTTTCTCATATCAGATTGAAGTTACATCAATATTCTGATTATTAACAAGTTGGAAGGTTATAGGAACTGATGGAATATCCACTGAATAATGGCAAGCAATAGAAGAAGAAACAGGAAAGGTTTTAACCAAGCTATGCTAGCAAATCTCATTGTCCTCATGAGAAATTTATATACAGGTCAGGAAGACATAGTATATACAGTACATAGCA